TGTTGGCCTTCTTGGTCACCAGGTCACACTGCCGGCTCATATTCAGCTGGCTGTCCACCAACAGCCCCAGGTCCTTTTCCACCAGGCAGCTTTGGAGCCACTCTTCCCCAAGCCTGTAGTGCTGCATGGGGTTGTTGTGACCCAAGTGCAGGACCCGGCACTTGGCCTCGTTGAACCTCATACCATTGGCCTCGGCCCATCAGTCCAGCCTGTCCAGATCCCTCTGCAGAGCCATCCTACCCTCAAGCAGATCAACATGCCCACCTAGCTTAGTGTCATCTGTGAACTTACTGAGGGTGCATTCAACCCCCTTTCACCCAGCGAAGAGTACACCTGTCGAGGCCATGAGCAGCCAGTTTCTCCAGGAGAATGCTGTGGGAAATGGTGTCAAAAGCTTTGCTAAAATCCAGGCAGATAACATCCACAGCTTTTCCCTCATTCACTAAGTGGGTCACCTTATCGTAGAAGATCAGGTTGGTCAGGCATGACCTGCCTTTTGTAAACCCATGCTGACTGGGCCTGATCACCCTGTTCTCCTGCATGTGCCATGTAATGGCACTGAGGATGATCTGTTCCCTGATCTTCCCAGGCACTGAGGTCAGACTGACCGGCCTGTAGTTCCCTGGATCCTCCTTCTGGCCCTTCTTGTGGATGGGTGTCACATTTGCCAACTTCCAGTCAGCTGGGACCTCCTCGGTTAGTCAGGACTACTCATAATGATGCAAAGTGGCCTGGTGAGCACTTCCGCCAGCTCCCTCAGTACCCTCGGGTGGATCCCATCTGGTCCCATAGATTTGTGTATCTCCAGATGCTGAAGGAGGTCCCTCACCATTTCCCCTTGGATTACAGGGGTGTCATTCCGCTCCCATCCCTGTCTTCTAGCTCAGGGGTCTGCGTACTCAGGGAACAACTGGTCCTACTACTGAAGACTGAGGCAAAGACTGCATTAAGTACCTCAGCCTTTTCCTCATCCTTGGTCACTATGTTACTGGCCCTGTCTACTAGAGGACAGAGATTATCCTTAGTCCTCTTTTTATTGCTAGTATATTTATAGAAACTTTTTTTTGTTGTCCTTGACAACAGAAGCCAGGTTTAGCTCTAGCTGGGCTTTGGTCCTCCTGATTTTTTCCCTATATAGCCTCACTACCTCCTTATAGTCCTCTTGAGTGGCCTGCCCTTCCTCCAAAGGCCGTAAATCCTCTTTTTCTCCCTAAGTTGCAACCCTAGCTCCCTGTTCAGCCAGGCTGGTCTTTTTCCCCGACGGCTTCTCTTTCGGCACACGGTGACAGCCTGCTCCTGTGCCTCTAAGACTTCCTTCTTGAAAAACATCCAGGCTTCCTGGGCTCCTTTGCCCTGGGGAACTGCTTCCCAGGGGCCTTTGACAATCAGGCTCCTGAAAAGCCCGAAGTCTGCCTTCTGGAAGTCCCAGGTAGCCGTTCTGCCGAACCCCCTCCTTGCTTCTTCCAGAATAGAAAACTCTATCATTTCATGATCATTGTTCCCAAAATAGCCCCCAACTGTCACATCCCCCACAAGACCCTCCCTGTTTACAAACAGCAGGTCCAGCAGGGCACCTTCCCTAGTTGGCTCCCTCACCAGCTGCTGATGGATAACTGTAGCTTGAACATTACAGATTTTAATACCCTTGCGAAGAGTATGAAGTCTTTTGCTAAAGGAAAGTTAACAATGCATTACAATGGACCAAAGTCAATATGAAAATCATGTAAAAACCAAAAGAAATCCTCTGCACTATTTCCTCCCTTGACTGTCTAATTCCTGTTACTCAACTCAGTCAACAGAAGGCTGATATGATCACACCATCACAGTGACTCAATTCCTCCAAAACAGTCAAGGGAGTTTTTAAAAATTAGACAACTAAGTCTAATTTATTATTCTAAGAATGTTGGATTAATTGAATTTTCATTATTTTCTTGAAAGACAAGGCAGTTAGATTTTTTTTTTTTCTCATTCCTACAGGTTCATGAATCACCTGCTTACATGAAGAAAACAAAGCTGAAAGAGCAGCTTGTTCCCCCCTCCTCTGGCAAACGTATAAGAGAATTACACAAGGAAGCCAAGACACTTCAGAAAACTTTAAATCCCAATGTCATTGATCATTTATGCATGCATCACAAGGTGACTGTGCAACGTTAAGGGCATAACTGGTCGCATTTATTTGACACAACAGAGAAGAGTATTTGAAAAATTATTTGAAGCGCTAAAAACAACATACAGAGACAGATGGAGAAAGACATACTGAAATATTCACAGACTTGCTTTGCTTTTTTTTTTCTTGTTCAGAAGCTAGTCTGGACAAGACTCACGTCATGCTGACATTATCAACCATAATGTAACTACCAGTTTAAAGAAGAATAATAATGGACAAATCCAAAGACATTTTAGAGCTGACAAGAAATTATTTTAATTTATAATTGTAATTAACTTCAACTTAGAAATAACGTCTCAAAAACAGCCGATGTCTTAAATTCATATTTTAGTGACTGAATATTTAATTCTTCCACAGATTAATTTGAAATATCAGCCATGGCATATCTATTCCCCTTGACAATCTTGTTATATTAATGCAGATAGACGTGGATTTGGTTTACTTAATTTATTGAAAAGACATAGAAAATCACATTGATATATAACTAAGTTAAAACTGAAAAATTTTAATCCCCAGGTACGGTCAGATTATTTTCATGAGACATGTTTGATAAACAACAAAATTATGTTCTGAGTCAGGTTTCTGTTTGAATTTCCACAGAACTTATTTCCTTTACTTCTAGGTCCAAAGGCTAGAAAAGGCTACCAAGGCGGCATATATACAACATGCTCCATTTTTTAGGAAATGCAGCAGAAGACAGTCTGTTGCCCTTCAGAATATATCATATAGATAGTGTTAGAAGTAAAACAATGCAAACACTCGATCTGCATTTCCACCTTATGGAGCTGGTTCTTTGGGACTACCTGAGGCACTTCTAAACAGAACAGATTATATATATAATAGAATCTTGATACATACAGACATGCAAGCTCCCTCTTTTTTCTTCAGTGTCAAAGGCTCTCATTGGAGCCACTGAGATTGGGCTCAACTAAAAGAGATCACCATCCGACAGCCAATACTGTCACTAAGCAACACCAGAACACTACTTTTTGCTATCATGGTTGAGTACATTTGTTTTGAAATAGTAGAGGAAAAGATTAAATCTAAAAAATGAGCAAGTAAAGCCATTGTTCAATAATCTATCTATTGTAAAACCAGACAAATATTTCTATGACCCTAAAAAGGGACACTATAACACAACCCTAAATTCTATTCTACTTTACTGCTATGCAGTATATCAACATCTAATATGCACCATGTATTGATTTATTCATAGATTTTAACAGAAGCTGAGTAAATTTGCCAAAAAAGTTCTGGGCTGATACCTTAATACGGATATATCTCATTTGCAGTAGTGTTCAGAGGTCTGCATTCTAATGTTTCATATAAAAGTCACTTCAGTCCCTCTACAAAAGTGAATGTTATAGGTCTATTTACCTACAAAGCATTGAAGAATTCGTTTAGTCTTATTAGCAAAATAAAGAAGGGGAGTATCCCTCCAATATCTGAAAGGGGATAACATCAAAGAATGAACAGAGATTATATGGTATGGCGGGAGAGAAAGGGTGCTTCAATATCAGAAGAAACACCTTGAAACTGACATGTTGTGAAACAGAAAGACAATGAACTATCCAAAGACAGCTATGTAACTGAAATTTAAGCACGGTCTAGGAACAGGCTCTGGATGCTGAATGTGAATGCTATCTAACATAAAGAGAAAAGCAACACCTGGAAGCTGTACATTAGAACACCATCCTGTCCATAATCCCAACAGTATCAAGATCTACTGCTATGTTAACTCTGATAAAGTTATTTCTTCCCCCATCTGAAAAATGTCTTTAACCACTTCCCACCAAGAAAGAACATTCTTGATGCGCCACCAGTTACGCTGTACTTTGCTCCAGTCACTTGGGCTACTTTGATAGTTTTACTTGTATTTGTATTCTGAATTGATCTCAGAACAGAGAGCAGACCCAATTTCCAAGCTGAAAATTCACTCTTGTGGGTACTGTTTTCAAAGGCAAGGAGCATTTTGCCTTTCTGTATCTGCAGGTTGTATCTCTCTATGTTCCTGTGGAGGTATGTTTGCTTAGCAGCAAATGACAATGATACAGAGTTTTGGACAAACACACCTCCACAGGAACATAGCACTTGAAACAAACGAAATTAATTTGTCTTATCTAAGCTTAGGATTTCTTTCTAAGACAGAAAGTCAATTTAATTCTGGCAATGTCATCCAGAAAACCATGTTTTTAACTGAGGTTAACTTAGAGCCCACTTCTTTACAGATCCTGTGCTCCTTCTCTTGTATCCTTTGACAGCACTGAATATTGGTTCTACAGTTATCTGGTCACAGTTTCTCATCAGAAAGCCTCTCAACACTGAAGGATTGGTATCTCCCCCCATTCAATTCCAATCAGGTAGGTGAGCGTCTGTTCTGATTGGGAGAGGTAACTTTGAAAGGTTTTTGTTTTGTTTTGTTTTTTTTTCTTCCCAATTCTTAATAAATCTTACTCCCGATGTTCTGAAAACAGCTTTATCTAACATTGACTCTTCAAAATAATATGACTGTAAGCAGGCATAATATAAATATACATGTGGCACTTCAGTGGGAGGAGCCAAAGTCTTTATCTTCAATTACGTTTTATGTAACTTCAAGATCAGTGACACTGTATGGCTGTAACCAAATGTTGAATATGGTCTTCAAGCTCTAAAAATGGAAATGAACCCATAGGGATGTACATCTTTATTTTGCTTATGTTGCAAAACAGTGACACCCACTGGCAGCAACAGTTTAAATACTTAACTGTGGCAATTTGGATCTACTTGATAAGAGTTGCTAAGAAGTTTCTTTTGAGAAAAATTAATCATAGTAGAAACCACACACACTTACCTGTTGAGTCAGCACTACTGTCTGAGTTTTCAGAAACTGTAATACTAATAGCATCTGGAGTAACTGCAATGTAACCCTCTGGAGGAAGATTCACTGTGTACATTCTCCTTGCAGACACAATTGTATTGTCACTACCTACAAAACAGAAAAAAAAAAAAAAGTGTCTGGCTATTGATCTCAGTATAGATTTTTCTCAAACATTTTCCCCAACTACAGCAATGATAGAAAGTGGTCTTGAAAATCCTTACAGAGGGAAAAGAAGTGAGAGAAAGTCATTTGTGGAACACTGAAATTATCCTATGACCAACAAAATTGCACCAAATTCTGTAACAGCTACAAATAAACAAATACTCCAAAGGTTAGTTCTTTCCACCAGAAGCACTTTTTTTTTCCTTCCGTCAGACTCTTCTACCCTAACTTCAGAAAAAGCTTCTACTTACAGTGATACTGTAAGAGACACTCTATACGTTCTTCCCCATTCAGCATGAGCAGACGCTATTTCTTTAAGAACTGTTTCATATAAGTTGGACGGATGGAGAAATACAAGCTGATTATGAAGTGATAGAAGCAATAGAAAAAGAATCAACAAACTGGTTTGTCCATTTGCAGACCTTTTAAACACAGACTATGCTGTTCTGAAGAGCACAAAGATGAAGGGAGTTTGAAAGCCACACTTGACTAACAGTGCCAAGGGCCAGTTTTCCAACTATTTCACTGTATAGGAAATGATTTGTGATGATGGCAGTAGACTGGTTTTGTAGGATTTCTTTCCCCTTTAAAAGGTATTTAAAAATATGTTCAAAAGTAGCAGTATAAATTTTTCATTTGTTCACATGACAAGAAGCAACTCTGTAGGAATGACAGAGATGCATCTCTGCTCCAGTTACACAAAATCAGTCCAAATAGCAGACTGTATTTTTTTTGCTCAGGAGTAACAACAGTAGAACTCAACCACAGGGAGACAAAAGCCTTTCCAGGCAGCCAGGATGTTCAAGCTGTCTCCAGAGGCTGCAACATAATTTTAAATGGTTCAGAGTGTTCTTTTTACACTCAGCCAGCTCCATAAGCCATCAGAGACACAGCATTAGCCTCCCCTTCCTTAGGGGCAATTTACACCTTTAAAACACATAGGCAGAACTGTTAAAATAACACACAGTAAAAACATCTTTGGCAGGTGGATGCAATTAACCTCCTTACACCACAAACTTGCTACAAGATCCCAGATGATCCCAGTCTATTACCAAACTGCAGCTATGCTTGGACTTACACCTAAACATTTAAAATGCAGTTGTATCTGACAGAAATAATTCTTGTTAAGGATCTTTGTTTCTAATATGTAATTTAACCACATACATTGTATGCAAATATGTAATTTAATATACAATGACATTTTTCAGATAACACACTTTAAAGAGTTCAGCATGACCGACCATCTTAGATATCTATGATAAAGTAGATTTTTGGAACATTCAAGACACTTTTGAAAAGCTGCATCACGTTTGTTTTCATCATCAGGATGTAATAATTTTGTTTTGAGAACACAGAATCATAGAACGGTTTAGGTTGGAAAGGACCTTGAAGATCATCGAGTTCCACCCCCCCTGTCATGGGCAGGGACACCTCCCACTAGACCAGGTTGCCCAAGGCCACGTCCAGCCTGGACTTGAACATCTCCAGGGATGGGGCCTCAAGAACCTCTCTGGGCAACCTGTTCCAGTGCCTTACCAGCCTTACAGTGAAAAACTTCTTCCTAATGTTCAATCTAAACCTGCCCTCTTCCAGTTTATAGCCATTCCCCCTCGTCCTGTCACTACATGCCCTAGTAAAAAGTCCTTCCCCAGCTCTCCTGTAGGCCCCCTTTAGG